TCGCGAGCCGGCTTTCAAACAGGGAGCGGCGAGATGAGGGAACCGGGCTCCCAGGAGCGACGCCGCGAGCCTTTGCCTCCTGCTTGTTTCGAGGCCCTAGAAGCAAAAGGTGGATTTTCCCGCGGCCCGGCCGCGGTCTCGGGCGAAATTGTTACGTCCTTGCTTAGCGATGCTTCGGCGTCGGCTTTTATCCCGCGACTCGGAGAGCGGATGGAAAGAGCGGTCGCTGACTGCCGCGATGGAAACCCTCTCTCGCCCTCCCCGGGAGTGGTTAAAAGCTGGGATTTTCACTCAAATGCGCTTTACTTAGTGCTCGGAGCAGGGTCGTCCCCGGCTGTGACGTTGGATTGCCTTGCAGGGGCGAAGGGTTTGACTCCAGGTATCCGCATTCCCACGTTTGGGTCGTCTCGGTGCAGGATGCGCCGCCAACGTGCCCCAAAACAGCCCCGAAAGCGGATCGCTCTAAAAGCAAACGTAAAGGTCCTGCTTCATCGGGAGGTTTGCTGCAGCACTTTGGGTTTTCAAATGCTCTTTCTGGCTGGGAAAGACAATGGAGGGGTTTTTTTGGGCCACGAAACTAGAGTTTTGGGGGGGGATTCCTGCCACCGGCCACGGTTCTCGCTGTCCCGTGTCCCTTCCTAGCCCCGACAGCGGATCTCCAAAAATCACAGCTCTAGTTTGCCAACGCAGTCGTTCCTCTCTCCGCTCCCTGCTGACTTCTGGAGAGGAGCCGTTTCTCTCAACTTCTCAGCGCAAAAAAATCCCGGTTATTATTATTATTTTTCCCCTTTGTCATTTTTCATTTTTCTCGCACCGATCTCCCCCCCCTTTAAGCGCTGGGCAGGGGCCTCTTCAGAAAGAAGCGCCGTCAAAGCTGCCAGGCTCCCTTCCGCCCGCTGCGTGGCTAAACGCTCTCCGCGTGCGTTATTTGGCACTAGGTTTCTAGCGCCAAGTGATTAAAACATTTGGAAAGTTGAATTTTTTGAGGGGGTAGCGATGTGAGGCCCGCGAGTGTTCACGACTCCTCTCTTTCCCCCGTGCCCAAAGGCCCCGCGTGGGCGCTGCCGCGCGATAGCTTTGGCCGCGGTGCCTCCTGGTTGGGTAAATGATGGAGATTTCCAGGCCAAAAGAGGCACGAGGCAGGTCAAGGATGGGGAAAACCGGAGCAAACCTTTGTGAAACAGGTGTAAAATGACCTTTTTAAAGAGCCGAATGTTATAGAAAAGGGATGCGAGGGAAAAGAGAGGAGAGCAGCTGGGAATACTGTTTAAAAAAAAAAAAATCACTTTTAATGACAACGGTGCCTGACCCTTATTCACGTGACGCCGCAAGGGAGGTTTTAAGAAACCGAGCAATTTCTGCAGCGCTCCTTCCTTGCGCCGTGCTAAAAAAAAAAAACAAACCCAAACTTGACTTTCTTTCCAGCAGCCTCAGCTCGTTCCTGCTGCAAGTCGAGCTCCAGCGACGCCTCGGACACCAGGTACCCGCTAAGCGCATCCTAACCAGTTACCGTCCCGGGTAAATGCCGATCGACGTGCTCTTCGCACACGCGTAAAGCAGCAATGGAAGAAGTTTGCTTTCTCAGCGCTGCGATATGATAATGATGCTGCGTATTAGCCAGGAGCTGCCGGTGCGAGCCTCGCCGGCGGGCCCCAAAGGCCCTCCAGCCCCTTCCTGCAGAGGAGCTGGTTTTCCCTAACTTCGCTTTAAATCCTTTTTTTTTTTTTTTTTAATTGATATCATTTCCAAGAGTCATGCAAAAACGTGCCCAGTTCCAGCTTCTGGAACCGTGCGCGAACTTGGAAATTGTGACTCGGAGCGGAAAACGAGTGAAGGGCGCCGGGGCCGGGAGCGGAGCAAAGCCGGGAAACGTCAAGCCTGTCTTCTGCCTTCAGCGCCCCAATAAAGACAACCAAATTGCTGATTACTCCTCTTTTTCCCCTCCCTCCCCACCCATCTTTTTGTAGCAGGGAGGGGGCTGGCTCCCTTTTTTCGAGCGCTTGAGGTTTGCCGAAGTGGCTGAACGTTTTGGACTGTGGCGAGGCCTCACCAGGCTGGAAGCTGCTGCTGCCAGAATAATTAAAAAAATGGGTTTATTTGTCTAAATGGCTGGTAATTCTGCGTACTTGCATTGCAGAGCACACCAGACTGCCTGTAAATCTACCATTTTTTACATTGTCTCTGACCGAACCTCTAAAACCTTGAATTGATTTGGGAAATTCTTGCCCTACCAGAGGTTATTGCTCCAGCCCCCAAAAGTTTCCAGCTTAAATAACAAGAGTTTTCAAGCAATTGGGACAAACCAGGTGGGTACTGGAAGGAGCTGTAGAAAATAATAGGAAAATCAGGCGGTTTTGGCTCAAATGAGGCCAGCTGCAGCAATACCATTATTACGGCTAATCAATAACAGCATATGCAATATTTAGAATTATGCAATACATTTATTTCTGCATTTTACCACTCGTTTCAATATGCATAGTTCCTGTAATTCCTGCAGTTGCTTTTTTTTCGCAAGTGGTACCATCTAGCTGAAATTGTGAAGCTGGGGGCTGCCGCTTGCTGTGGTTTCCCGCGCCGCGCTCGAGGCAGCGGCTTCAGCCTCTCCTCTGCTCCGGCGGTTTTGCTCTTATTGGGATGGGAAATTGTTTTATTTTTTATTTTTTTTATTTTTTTTTCCAGAGTTTGCTCCCCAAAACAGCGAAACCGTGGGGTGAGCAGCCTCCTGAGCTGCTGTCGTGAAATCCCGGCCTCGGTGCGTAGTAATGCATTTTCTTTCCTACCAAAAGAGATTGA